AAGGGACGAATACGAATTAGAAACGAATATTAGTGGATGCGTAATCAAAGCCAACCGCGGATCACATTACCTGAAGAGTCAAGAACCGCGGGCTCGGATGATTGTGATACAAAAACCTCTCTCTGTGAATAGCCGTTGTAGTTTTCCAAATCAGTTTTCCTTTAAACTTCAGTTCGACCACGCCATCTTCATTTACCCAAGTCTCTTTAAACAAGTTTATGATTTCATCGATAAGTTTTTGATAAGTGGCAAATTTCAAAGCGGACACGTAATGCAATCCACAATTCAGAATAATAACACTGTGCTCGTCCATTTCGGGGAGATAAAGAACCTCACTGAGTTCTTGTAGCACACGTGAAGGATCGAAATCAAGATAGTTTCTCTTGTATTTTTCTATTTCCACCGGCTCGAGCATGTTGTAAACCCAACTGTACGTGAGATTGCAGACTTTGAAGATTTCGCCGCAAAGAGGCGTGTAATATATAGAATCGTAAAATCGCAGCGCCAGTGAGTCGCCGTAAATCCAGAGAGTACCCTTTTTATCTCGCGGTGAATTCTTGAATAACCTCTCTGAAATCAAAGGAAAGAAATTTTTTAGAATAAACCGAGAATTAATNTTAGTCCAATGACCAAAGCCATCCGATAGAAATTTACAACTTGTTCCACAGTACGACGGGTATCCAAATCCATAACTCAAAAATTCTACAAAGAGAAATTAAATAGTTAGTATCAAACTTTGTTGTCATATGCGGGAGCCAGATCGAGTCTTCCCAATACACTCAGGTCCAAACACACTAACGAGCTTTCGTGTGAAAACGCGAACTTTTTGATGCGTTTTCCCCTATCGTCCACACTAAACGGACCGACAAGGCTGATGAAAACGGAGGCTTTCGAAAATGGTTTCAAAAGTGGAGCCTTTTGGAAACGCTCCGTTTCTAGTTTGGATGCAAGTAAAGACGGAGGTTTTTGACTGAAAACGGTGTCGAGAAGGGCGTTTTAGTGTGGACGACAGGCGAAAACATATCAAAAAGTATGCGTTTTCGAATGAACACGAATTAGTGTGGACAGGTGAAAACAAAACGAAAACGCTAGTGCGGTCGAAAATATTTTGCTTCATCATCGTTGAGATGAAAACGGATACTCAAGTTAAAAACGCATTAGTGTGGTCGGGTTTCTCAGTCAGCTAGCCATAATAAGTAAGTGGTACGCGATTCAAAAGACAACAGTATTGCGTGAGACAACCCTTCTTGCGCAATCCTTGTATACAATCAGGGACACAAAAACTACTGTTCCATACCGTCTCTTCTCATTGGCCCGTGACTCGCGGGTACGTCAAAACAAAACGGGTCACCACCCCACAGAGGCTGCATCAGGTACACTTGCTTTCCCGCCAAAATTCCCCGAGGCTGGTTGCTTCCATGGGTATTTCCTGAAAATACGAAAAATGTATTTGTGATGTTTAATGAAATCTGCCAGATACATCGTTTGTACCGTAATAAAAGCTCGTCGAAAATTCATTGCCCCTGCATTTGCTTCGTGTTACATTTTTGCCCAAAATACCGATACTTCTGTCGCAAAATCATTCCATTTAGTCCCACCGTTGGAGGACCTAGTGCTGTTTTTAGTCTTTGTTTGTTAAGGCACTTAATAATAAAATTTCCACATTTACATCTCTACCAAATACTCACATGAGCGCTCAAGGACTCTGAACGTTGTCGCATCGTCATTGAGTGATTAGTTGCCAACTTGGAGACGAAAACTGCTCAGGTCTCGGAGCCCGCGATTCACCATCAACGGTTAATCTGCGTTCCTGTCTAGTGACCCTCAGGTCGGCGCTTACCCCTGCTTCCCTAGTATGAACTAAGAGTGTTTTTACTCCCCCGGGATGGAATGCAAGTCCATCGCAGGGTTACCACCCAACATTAAATTCGCTGGTACCCATTTCTACACCTAACTGGAGAGGTACTGTACGAGTACAGTGTCTTGTCCAAAGAAGACAAGGCAATGACCCCGGCCAGGGCTCGAACGTACCTGGACCGCTGGGTTCGGAGACTAGCGCGCCTTCCACACCTAGTTCTAAACAAGTATTTCTCTGGCTGGTACATGTTCTCTTAGTTTTAATACATTAACTGGCAAGGAAGTAACCTCCAGTTGATGATTTTCAATACTCATCACCAGTCTCCTCGATAGTGTATTTATATCGTAAGAAGTAATCACAGTTTGATCAATCTCGCAAGTAGAAGCGTTTAGCTTCAAGCTGATTTTCTTACCCGAGATAAACCAATAGTCAGGGGGGTCCTTCATTCCATCACAAAGCGAATGATCCAACACCGCTGACACGCAGTAGTTCCCGGGAGCAAGAATCAAGAACAGAATCTCGTATATTCCATTGCCAAGGTCAAATATCGTGGGTGCAAGCCCTGTAGGGCCCGAAATAAAAACTCTCCAGTAGTCCCCTCCGACCGATTTAGGAACGCCATCGGAGGTCTGGGTTTGAATTTGAAGCTTGCTGAATTGCCCAGCAGGTCGAATATCCATTGATCTAACAAAACTCATTCTCGAGTTAGTTCTGTTTTCAACATTCCATCCTGGTAAATTATCGTCGTAGACCGTGTTTCCTTCGCACGGTTCTCGAATTCGTTTCCAGTCTATTCTGGCGTTGCGCATTCGGCACCAGTCCCTTCCGAAGTCTTCCAAAGTGTTTCGGTTGACCGTGCTGGTCAAATATAACGGATAGTACCATTTCAAGTAAATAAATAGCGATATGATGACGCCCCAGTAGAAGCAAAAGGCCCTTCGTAGGAGAAACAAGCGCGGGAGTCCCCTTAGAGTACCTACTTTACGTACTCTGGCCTGAATGCTGTGCTTGAGTGAAGGAATTAGTCTCTTTCTGCGCATGCTGTCGATTTCCTGGTGGTCAGCGGTAGATAAAGAGATGAAATCTGTATCATCTTGCTCAGTTGCACTCATATGATCTAAACGCTCCCCAGCAGAAAGCTAAGAAAAGAAAAAAATATCGAGACAGGCATGTGACCTCATTCAAAGAGTTCATGTCTTACATGAAAAGGACAACCTGCTGTTCAGGAACCTGTCCGATTTCGTACTTACCCCCGAATTGAGAAAACAGCAATTCACGCATTTGATTTTCTCGCTTTTTAAATTTTATGTTCAATTAACTTTCAGCACAATGAAGAATCAGAAGTGCAAGGGCTTTTCCAATCTGAAAGTATCTTTAAGCTTGAACCTTTTCGTCCAGTGATTAGACTTTTAGCATTTAGAATATTCTTCATTGTTAATTTAGCGGCGTCTTAACTACCCCTATGGCACTGATCGCCGCCTGTCAATTTTTGCTTACCTTATAACTTCAACGAAGAAGTTATCTGCAACGTTGTATTGTCATGCCGTATCCTGTCCGAGCCTTGCGACATTTCAGGTTTTGAACTGACTTGGAGATTGTGTTTCTAATAAATAGACTAATCAACGTTTCTGCGCCGCATAATCATAAGATGTGGTTGAAAAATTTGATTTTCTTTGTTCTCCCGCAACTGAATTTGTCACGTGATTTCTGACGACACTTTGCGTCACCTGCACTGTTGGGATCAATTGTCTGCAAGACTTGAAATAAACGAAGCTAAAAGTCGAATAACCGATTCATTTTATGGACAATGACGATTCTCTACACCGTTAGCTTTCAATGTTAAAAAGATAACGCTTTCTTTTAGTCCAAGACTTCAACCTGCCATTCATTTAAAATTATGTTGGTCTTTGTTTCAGTGGTAGTCTATTTAGTTTTGTTTTTACCTGAAAAGTCTTCATCACAAAAGACTTTGCTGGTGATACGGGTCTCCTCATATTTGCCATTTTCTTCACAAAAAAATCGTAGTCCCCGTTAAACAATACAAACAGTATTTTTCAATGATTAATAAAATATCAACTGACTAACAAGCTCATTTAGATTTAAAAGAAAATTTTACTATTTTGGGGGAATATTCAATGTGGGAGTTTGAATGTTGTTTTCACTGTGGGAAAAATATGGCTACGCTAAAGTCGTTCTCTACACGATGTTTTTTTAAGCCAGAGCGATCACCATCACGTCGAAACAGATGGCGATGATGCTTCTAAGTCTAGTGATATTGGCTAGCTCCAAAGAACCTAGACTGAAGCAGGGGAGGATGAGGGCAAGAGAGATAGGCATTCAAGTTATTTTTAGTTATGGTATCCAGTCCATTCGCGGATACCGTTGCCACGCTCCTTGCGTGGATGTTCTCTTGGAGGATTAAAATGCGTGTTGACCCCTCGTGCTGTCTACGTGGGGACAATTTGCGTCACAGAATCGATTATTTTTAAACCTTCTCAGGATTTCTGAAGCCGAGATCAGTGATCTTAAAATAACTCGTCCTCTCTTGCTTGTAGCTAGTAAATGTGGAGATTCACGAGTTGATATTCAAGACTGCCTAGGACAATTTCTTTCCATGTAGCATGTGACCGCACTGACTGACTAACATATTGTGTTTGACACAAGAATGAAACTGAGCCAATGATGAAATACATTTTATTACAATCAAAAGTTTGCAAATACTGTTTTAGTGGGATCCCAAAATGGACGAACATATGAATTAACAAAGCGGCAAAATAAGGCCACGAAAAAAGTCACTGTAATAATGATTTCAATGCTATACAACGAGTTTAAAGCAATACTGTAAGTCGGGATGTGTTCAAAACCATAACAAGAACAGAGGCTTCCTTGACTTTCTCAAGGGAACATTGAAGTTGGAGCTGTATGAAACGAGATAAAAAAAAAAAGTACAGGAAATTCTAATAAATATCCCATAAATGAACTATCTGATGAGGCAGCACATTGAATCATGGCACTGTATGGTTTCTATGCGCAGGGAAAATAGTGCACGGCCCCTCTCCCTCGTCCTCACAATCCCATGAGGCAAATGTTTTCCGGGTCTCACCACATTGTAAAGATTTGTATTTATTTTTCGAGGTAATCCCTCCAGGGACCGACGTCGTGGTATTATTTGGTATGTCTTATATGAGGTAATTTCTTCAGGTTCATTTTCCATGCTGTCACTGTGTATCACTTCGTTGCCATGAGGGACTGAAGTATTCTAGTAAAATTTCCTCCGCAGGTTTGAACACCAAGTCTTTGTAATGTACCATATCGTACGGATCCACGCTATTATCAGTTCCGTTAGGGAAAGACGCGGTGAGTGGGTACACATCAAGTACTTCGATACTGGCTTTACACATGGCCCAGGTAGCATATGCATTGTAGAGTTGAACCCGCTGAAAGAAACGAAAAGATTTTGATAAACTAACCACTATAGTACGCACGCTTTTATTGGTCTCCACAGACCATAGACCGGGGAGGTACCCCAAGAAAAATCAGATAAGGGTGTGCAGCCCGCTTCCCAAAACCCTTATCCTTTTTATGACCATAATCTGTGATTTTCCCTACCCTACCTGATCAGAAATTTGATACCCCATTTAAGACCTGACCCTTAGATCTATACCCTGTTTCAAACCTGTCTTATAATTAGTGACCTAGTTCAGTCAGACGGATAATAAAGGCATTGAGGAGGGCTTTTGTTGATGGTCTTATCGATAATGATGAAAAAGTAGCCTCTTTAAAAAAAACATACCTAATTCAAGATTAGAGTGCAGAAACCATACCCTATTTAAGACTAAAATGGCCTTCCATACCCTATTTATGACCAAAACGGTTAAAAAAAACATACCCTTTTGGGGCCGCACATACCTATATAGCCCATAAAAGGGAGTTCCCCCTTCCCCGAGGAAACAGGGTTCCTAATTTTGTGTACAAAATGTTCTTTAACGACGCCTTTTACAGAAACTATTGAAAAACATTTCTCTTTTTTTGTTGTTGTTGTTGTTATCATCTCTTTGAAGAATTTTTGTGTTATGCATTTCTTTATTGCAAATTTAATGCCACAGAGTTGGCAGCTATCGTACTTCTCTGATTCTTGGTCTTGGTCAACCCGATTCGTGAGTAGCCTTTGTGCTTGCACGGGACAAAATTTCACAAAAAGATATCAAGTCATCAATA